ATCTTTGAAAACCATCTGTGGGAGTATATTTAGAATAAATTGCTAAATCAAAAGGTCCAAGCTTTTGTAACTTTGATGCATATTTTCAGAGAGTGAGATCGCATACTTCTACCAGCAATGCGTGAGAATGCCAGTTTCCTTTAGACTTGCTAAGGGAGCATGTCGCCAAACTTTGGATTTTTACTAATCCAGTAACTGAAAAACAGTCTATCGATCAGAGATTTGCCATTACATTTAGTGAAGTGGTTGGGCATCTTTTTGCGTCTAACGACCATCTGTGTTTTGTTTCCTGGGAATTGTTTGTGTATGTTTGTTGCCCGTTTTTCTAATGAGTTTTTCCAAAATGTCCCTTTTAGTAACAAGAGCCACAGCTAGCACACTCTGGAACCAACACCTACTATCTGGAGCCAGGAAGAACAAGAAACGAACGTACCGACTGGATTTACTCAGGCAGGAACAGTTCAAGTGAGCAGAGAGGGTAGGAGCTGTGCTTCATACCGAGATTCTAGTCTTGGGAGACAGTGATAAGCTTTCCCTTCCCCATTATCATGCAAACACAACCCCTTTCCAGTGGGAAACCAAACCCATCACCCCATCAGCGTGGATGAGCATGGGACTCAGGTCTGGCCAGATCATCTCTTCCCTTGACCAACTGTGATTGATCAAAGGATTGTCATGTGACCTACACCTGCTCAAACACACCCTCACCCCCCAGCTTCTGCTAGATCTGCAGGAAAAGAAGTCCACTTTCTTTTTACTAGGGCCACTAGCTTGAAGAACAATACGAGGTGACTTTGCTGTGTGTGGAAAATCTGCCAAGGAAGAAACCCAACCGAGGAAAGAATAACTGAGAAGAGGAAAAAAGGGGGATTGAGCACGTGGGGTCCACCATGCCTGGAACCAGGATTCACTCCCTTGTTCTTCCCAGTTCCACGGGCCAGGAAACTCCCTCCTCTGCTTGGATTGCTGTCGTTCGCAACCAAAAACACCCTAACACAGATGGAGACAATAAAACACGCTCACCCTCTCGGGGTTGACGTCCAGAGCATCACAGACCGTGATGGCAAAGTGCTTGGCCCTTTCGAAGCTCCCTTTCCCGATGCTGTGAGAGCCGTCTATCAGAAACAGGACATCCATCGCCGCGGAGCACCACATCACTAGGGGAGAGGGAGACAGATGGGTGACAACCAGCCTCCCTGCCGTCTGGTCCCAAGTATCTCACTCCCCAAAGCAGAGTGGAGGCAGAAATGACTCTGTGGTAAGCCAGCTGCTGCTCTTCTCGGCACGATGGTGAGGAAGGGCCCCGGAGAAGGCCTGGGCCAGAGGCGGCCCTCCGCTGCAGCGGGAAGCACACACCCACCTGGGCATGATGCGCAAAGACGCCCTCACGGGAAAGTCTTTCTAACCCGTTCCCCGTTTGCCCCGAGAATACTTGCCGGCGGTGCTCGCGACTGTAGCACTTACCCTGAGATAACTCACAGATTCCAGTCCTGACCTTAACCGCCAAAGTGTGCCACGAAATATCCGGCTTTTATTATTATTGTTGCATCGCTCTAGTGTATCGATAGTCTTTGGAAACAAATGACATCATTCTATTTAGAGTATTCTGGTTTTAGTAATGGTGTTTCCACATTTACAAAATACAGTAATTCTCAATCACTGAAAATGTCAAATCCTAGAAACGTAGCATTCCTACGTGTGATGTCAACACCGTTCTCGAAGAGTTATTAGCTGGATTCATTTGATGAATCCGATTTATGGATACATTTCTGTTATATTAGGATTAGAGACAAGTTGTTTAGCAATAGCTCCAAGAACAGTTTTTAATATTTTATTTTCGCATCGAAAACCAGTCAGATTTGCTTCAGCCTCAAAGAACATGTTTACGTAAAATTAACGTTGGCGGCGAGCTGCACGTTTTTTGTTTTTGTTTTTCTAAACAGGAAATGGGCTATTAATGAAAGAGTCTAATTCAGCAACACTGAGCCCTATGAGAGGATTAGCTGCTGGGCCAGTGAGGGATACTGAAAGGCCTTGGTTCCAGCCCTTGGGGCCCACGATTTAGTACAGGACACAGCCAGGCGGCCTGGCACGTGATGTCACATTACCCAGGAGATAAGAAATAACAGCCAGCACTGATTGCTTCTTTCCTATATGCCAAGTGCTACTTTACACACTTTATATGGACTAATTAGTTTTAAAGTCACCATGACCTTTGGGTGACTTTAAAAAAAAATTTTTAACAGATGTATTGAGATATCATAAAATACACCATATAGTATAAAACACCTTATAAAACACCATATAATTCATCCACTTAAAGTGGATAATTCAATGGCTTTTAGTATATTCACAGACATTCCATCATCATCTCAATTTCAGAACATTTCCATCACCTTTAAAGAAACTTGTACCTTTTAGTTATCAGCTCCCTGGCTCCCCACCCCCACCCCACCCCTAAGCAGAGCTATAATTTTTATTCCCACTGGAGGGAGGAGGAAAGCGAGGCACAGGGCAGTTCAGTAACATTCCTGAGGACAAAGTGCTAGGAAGTGGCAGAGCCAGGAATCCAACCCGGGCTTTGTGGCTCCAGAGCCCGCACCAGCCACAGAGATGCAAGAGAGCAGAAGCAAGAGAAGCACCAGCGAGAAGGTGACGCAGGAAGGCAGCGAAGGAGAGCGAGTCCACCCGAGCGGGGAGGAAGGGATGTGTCGGGGGCCTGGGCACGGGCAGGTGTGGCCTCCGCACATGGGGACCGAGTAAGGCGGAAAAGGAAGAAACGTGGCAGCAGGCGAGGCTGGTTGGGTAAACAGCGGTCACGTCACTGAAGATCTCAAACTGTGGACCAAGAAATCTGGCAACGGGGATTTACCAAGAGTTTTTTACCCAGGAGAGGGACTTGGGCGGGCCTGTTTGGGGAAAATGATTCTGGCGACAGCGTGAGTTGGAAACTGTCTGGAGTAACATGGTTTCCATGCGGAGGCTGAAATGGGCATTTGGAGGATGGAATAAAACATGGGCTTACTTTTGCTGGCCGCTGAAATCTTCCCAATGGTCTCCTTGCTTACGTGGACTTCCTGAAGAGGGAGGGATGGGGTCACTAGGAGAGAAGACACCAGAAGCCGTCTTAGTCTCCAGATTATGTGAACAGAATGAACAGGAGATAAGAGACAAAATGGGAATGTGGGAGAGTCTAATGATATCGCAAGTTAAAAATTAGCAGATGGGGAGCATGAAAGAACCCTCGATCACCCCACTTCTATCGGGCACCTTTGTATCTAAATTTGAAGACAATTAAACATATACTCAGAAGGGTTATAGAGAACCTGTGATTTCAACGAGTTTTGCCCTGGTTAAGTATAATAACTGGGTCTCTCGCTGACTGCCATAAAAGTCGACCTTGGATGTAAATAGATAACTCGTAAAGAGAATTTATAGAAAAGCACAGGGGAAATGTTTAAGCAGGTGATGTTTTCAGTCAAACGAGGAAATAGCGTTTTAAACGTGAAATGTAAATGATCAAATTCTAAGTTTATCTGTACTTGGGGGAAAGCTTCATTCAGGAAAAAAATTTCCGGTGGTGGCACTGTAAATTGGTACAACTCTTTTGGAAAAAATTTGGTCAAATAACTTAAGGATCATAACAATGCTTATATCCTTTAACCTTGTAATACCACACCTGGGCATTGACCTGAAAGAAAAAAACTTTAGAGAAGGGAAATGTGCATCAAGACGCTCCTTTCGACATTTTTTTGTGATAGAAGGATGTGGACGATAACAAGTATCCAAACAGACGATACTATGAGTAATTGCTTATGTATTTGTTCGATGACATTAACACGAACGAGGGCTAAAAAGTTTGGAGGCAGGAAGTTCACGGATATATTTCTCCTTCTTTTACAGGATACCCGGTAAAATTGTACTAATGGCATCTGATCAATAACAATTTACAAAATTAACTGAGGGCAATGAAGGTGCCACTTGGAGAGATCATTTCAAAAGCCAACGGCACTTGGTCGATGTCTAGTGGCCAAAGAAATATACACACGGATGCTTTATACATGTCGATATCTGGGAAGGGGGGTCGCGGTAAGCACAGAGGAAACAAAGCTAGGGTGGGCAGAGCCCTGGAGCAGGCTGGGCCAAAAAGGGGACAGAGGAAGGAACATGATCTGGGGGTTCGGGAGGAAGTGAGCTGGGTGCTGAAGGATGAGTAGGAGTTTACCAGGGTAGCAGTGCTGGGTAAGGTGGTAATCCAGGCAGAGGGGCCACCATAATGGAGAATTCCTAGGATGAGAGGGAGCAAGGGGACTGGGCAGG